AAATAAGTGCTACTACTGTTACATTACATGAGATCAAGCAGATCTTCCCACTATTGGGATCTTTTAAGAAGCACCCTTAGTCTAGGCAGAGATGATACACAGCTTCCTAAAGTTCTTTGTGTAAGAAATAGCCAAATAACTAAGCAAGAATCTGACCATTTGGCTGAAAAAATGATCTTCTGTAAAGGAAGTGGGCAGCATTAGGAGGCGCAAAGAAAGCCTGGCACCAGCTATGAAAGCCCAAGAGTAGCCCCTACATTCAGCTGTATCCACTGTGCAGAAGTGGATCTGATGGTACAACAATTATTTGGACTGTAGTTTTGATGAATTTCTTCTCAACTGCAATTGTACAAAAGTTACTGGAAAGTGCAACTCCAGCTTCAATCCCTCCAGCCGTGAGGAGGCTGGAAGGCCTCATATGTGAAAGGCATTACTAATGCTGTTCTGAGATCAAAATAACGTGGTCTAAATTCAAAATGATTCTTAAATCCCAGTTCTGAGATATGACTACATACATCACACGGCAAAAAAAAGAAAGAAAAACCTCAAAAAAACCCTAAAAAAACCCCAACCTTGCACTTTGGACTAACCAAAACATATGACCCTCTCAGAAACAGATTAAAATCCCACTTTTTTCACCTCTTTTCTTTAAGGTTGAAAGAGTGCAAATCTCCTTAAAGACATTTTATTAATGAGAAGAACAAGCACCGTTTTTGTCGTTGCCTCATTGACAGTTATATCAAAAAAGGGAAACAGACTGCAAAAATCACAGCTCAATAGTGGATGCTTCAGAGGGGTGAGGGGAACCCCTTACCCCTCAACCTCTCTTAAAACACTAAAAGCACAGTATTGTAGCTTAGGGGTGGGGAAGGAAGATATCTGCTGTTCTTGATCTCAGATAATATTTTGATTAAGTCTTAAAGTTCGATCGCTTTCACATAAAATGTCCTTTTGCATACATGCACTTATGCTCTCAGATACGGGTATATCCACACAGACACTTTCATTCTATACTGCATAATATTATTCCCATAAACCCAAAGTATGCTGCAATTCCCATGAAGAAATCCACGAGAAAAGAATGAGCAGGATTTCACACATATCACTTGTCTGACTCAAGCAACGAATGAACACAAATTGTATTGCTCCTTGCTCCCTTCAGGGCATCATATCCTCCTCCTCCAAGCAAACAAACAAAATACTCCAAGATTATGTGAGGGCAGGACTATGGCTAATGTGCTAGTCAACAAAATATCACTAGATTATTAGCTGCAAGCCCCAAGAGTTCAGAAAAAGGATAACTAAAAAGGCACTCATGTTCTTAGGGCAGCACCTTTCTGTGCCACCTCTTTATTAATGAGTATTAAGCCAGATAGTGCTTTAAAAAACAAACAAACAAACCATAGGCATCCACTTTGTTCAACTACCTATGGTAGTTGATATAGGCAGTGAAGATATAGGCAGTGAAAGGTGGGAAAGGATTGTATCAAATGTTGTGATCCTGGAAGTGCTTGTTTAAAAACAGGCAGCCCCCATAGAAGCATCCTGGCTCCAAAGGCAAGACAAAAACAGGCACTGACTTTTCTCAGTGTCACTGTTCTTTGCAGATCCAGAAAGAATGACTCCTAAAAAAAATACAAAGATTAAAGAAAACCAGAAGAACAGATGGCTTCCTTGGTCTAACATTATTGCAACTGGTACTGTTAAAAATAAATATATTTTGCATGTATGTCTTCAAAGGTCCCCCAAAACAACCAGAAAGTTTATTTCCGAAGTGTCAGACGTCTTGCTATTGGAATACTTCTATTAAAGGGTATTGAGATTTTTATCACAGCTTTGTCTTATTATGTCACACGTATTCTACTACGCATATAGGTGGAAACAAAAGAAATATGTTGTCTCTGACAGCAGAGACAATCTAAGTTGCTTCTTTTTGCCCTCAAGCAGGGAAAAACAGTATTATTTATCCTGTAAGAACGCTCCAGATATAATGAGCAAAAAGAAAAGAAATACTTAGTGAAAATGATTTAATAAACCCCAGCAGAAACAGTGCATCTTTTCACATACTTAAGGGTCAGTGAGGCTCCATGCTGATATTGAATGAATGGATGGAATAAAATATTTTGCATGTCATATGCTTTCTACTTACGGCACAAAGTCCTGGTTGGCATATACGCTAGATGAGTATTACAGTTAAAAATAGTTCCCTTTTAAGTGTTATACTATTTGGCATAGTATGAGTATCTAACAAATTCTATGGTTCAGTTTATTTAAATAAAGATAGGTACACTAACAATATTTTTAAAAACAAAGCAAAAAGTAAGCTTTTCCCTGTTTCTTGCTGCTTGTTATATATCTTGATTACTTGCAAATGCAGAAGGGAAGACAGTAGGAGCAAAGGAATAGCTTAAATCTTGAAAGAAGGAAGGCAATTCATTTTACAGACTAGAGTCTAGCATGGTCCCAGCTCATTTCTCCAGGAATCGGTATTATTTCAGCAACCAGTTACTCACGATTACTCTTCGTACAAAGGCAGGTCCTAAGCAAGTCCCCTTTATTTAGGGGCTTTCCTTGATTTTGCAAAAGGACAAAGAAAACAAAATCCACTCTTTTCCACTTCTCCTCCTCTCAAACACCATGACAGAGCGGTAGCGCTCATGGTTATTTTTACGTGGAAGGCCATATTATTTATGACTCCCTATCCTCTGAAATGCCTTTCTAGAATTATGAACCACCTTTAATGTCTCTGAGAGCTGACTACTGATGCATGGACAAAGCTCCACAGGTACTGTACTGGACTGCATTTAACAATGCCACTCAATCACTCAATGCAAGTGTTGTATTCTCAGTGCAAATCATCTACAGCAATTTAGCTCAGCATTGATACCTACTAATACCACTTCTCAAGTCATCGTGTCAGGAAAAACAGAGCATAAAATAGTTTAAATAGAAAAACACTTTTAGAATGTATTCAGGCAAAACCAGACTGTTATTAACACCAAGTTATCGTTCCGAGAGCTGTGGTTTATGTTGGAGCAAATGTTGACCACAAACATGATGTGAATTTTGTGGTAGCTGCAATTAAAGGGGAGGGGGGGAAGAGACTTCTGAAAAATGCTGCAAATCCCAAGCTAAAGCATACAGCCTGACCCTCCTCTTAGGAAGGAACAGCTCACCCTATCATTTGAGTATTAGAAGGCCGACACTAATGGCAGCCCTACAAGTCTGCTATGAAGGACAAGTAGTTCGTGGCTCTACACGATACTCGGTCAAATTTCAGCTGGATTAATGGAAGTGTGAATTCGAGGCACTGATGCAGTGTGTGCTGTGAAAGACACAAAGGACACCATGAAATGCTATCAAAGGTGCTAGGTTTCATCTCTGTCAGTCATCCACTTGCTGGTCCCAGGTTGTCAGCTGTCACTCTTTGCTGTAAAGAGCTGTCCATGACAATCTACTATAACCTCCATTATCCCCAGTGTTGTAGCCCAAGATAATAAAATATGTATTAGGTCAGAAGAGTTAACAATGATGCCAGACTGTTCCTGTTGAGTACAGCAAACATGAGCATAACCTTAAAAATCTCTGACTGGGTTCCTAACATGTGGCTTTTTTATATTATTATTTCTGGTACACAAAGATGTCATTTTATGAGTTAAATATCCTTAGATTCTTTGTTAAAACTGTTAGTTCACTTTTCTTCTTTCTGTATAACACCATCTTGGCAGCTTTAGAAACCACTCTAAACTTACTACAAAGTCCCCTTTTCTGGTCCTTTTGACAGCAGTTCTGCTTGTTAGCTTGTTGCTAACATTTTACCATATATTTACTAAGTCCTTCATTGTTCCTGAGAGCCCCTATTTTAAATATGCATGAGGCTCTTGAGTGATTTTGACAGGCTCGTGATTCAATCTACTCACCACGGGCTGAAATAATGACACCGAAGGGAAAATTTCACCACCTGGAATTCTGCTAAGACCGAAGGAACAATTCCAAAACTCCACCAATATTGTAAAGGGACCAGTAACATATCAGCTTCCCTTCCGCTTCTGACTGTCTCAAGGTATTCTCAAGTATGTTCTGCTTCATTTTAAATGAATGCAGGTACAAGGAAACAATACCAAACCACAAAAGATAGAAGAGCAAATCCATGATTAAAAAATAAACAAACAAACAAACAACCAAAGTCCCCTTTTCTGGTCCTTTTGACAGCAGTTCTGCTTGTTAGCTTGTTGCTAACATTTTACCATATATTTACTAAGTCCTTCATTGTTCCTGAGAGCCCCTATTTTAAATATGCATGAGGCTCTTGAGTGATTTTGACAGGCTCGTGATTCAATCTACTCACCACGGGCTGAAATAATGACACCGAAGGGAAAATTTCACCACCTGGAATTCTGCTAAGACCGAAGGAACAATTCCAAAACTCCACCAATATTGTAAAGGGACCAGTAACATATCAGCTTCCCTTCCGCTTCTGACTGTCTCAAGGTATTCTCAAGTATGTTCTGCTTCATTTTAAATGAATGCAGGTACAAGGAAACAATACCAAACCACAAAAGATAGAAGAGCAAATCCATGATTAAAAAATAAACAAACAAACAAACAACCACACACACACACACAAAATCCAAACAAAACTAAATCTGTGTCTGGCATTTTGTTGAACCTAGAAAGTCTTATTAAGAAAGCATTAAAGAGCCAATCTCATTACCATCCAAATCAAGAGAAAATTGCCATATAGTAACTACAGCGCAGTTATGATAAGTATAAGTAGTTATGATGTTACTTTTGAAAAAAGGGAGCCCTTCTAATGAGAAGTTAAATCAACACAAGATTTTTTTTTAAAATGTTAAAATAATGCAGAAGCTCTCTTACTAGAATGTATCTTCTTTACAAGCATTTTTTTGTGTGTTCTAGAAGCAGCAGAGAAGCAACACTGCTGCCTACAGGGTACTATGCTGAGAAACCTGCTCCAGCCGCCAAGTGTCCATACCAACCTGCCCAAGCATGTCCGGCGCGATGGGGAACACAGACCAGATGGCGGAGTAGACACCAAAGAACACCAGCCAGAGCAGCATGCTTCCCCAAACGGCCAGGTGGCTGAACTGCCGATGAGGGGAGAAAGAAGGAGAGTCAACACAGTAACCTTCCTTGCTCTATTTAATGCAGATATTTTCCTGTTCAGGTCTTTGCCAGCCTCACTCAGGCCTATCTACTGTACTTGGTTTTAGGCCAGTAGCATAGATTGTTAAAACAGCAGAAAACAGCTCTCCTTTTTAATCTTTGCGTCCTGACAGGGCAGATAGATAGGCTTCTCAGCCAATTTGTCTTACTCCAAAAACTCATCAGATTTTCTTTCGAACTCTGCCTGTGCTCATCAAGCTCCTGGTTCCCATTTTACACATGCCAGGTTGAATGCACACATCAAGGAAGATTTTTTCAAAGGCACGGGTTAAAGTTCACACTGACAAATCCTTCATGTCAGAGCGTATGCATATAAGCCATGTGCCCCACTCATATCTGTCACTGTGGAAGATTCAGGGCTGTGTGATACACCACCACCCAAGCAATCAGCATCTCCTGATTAGCTTTTCTTTTCCTTGCTAAAAAAAAAAAAAAGAAAGAAAGAAAGAAAGAAAGAAAGAAAGAAAGTTCCAAGTGATTTACACATTTGCAAGGCAATTTACATCTTCACTGGTTCTTTAAACTGTAGATTCCCGAAGAGTTAATGAAAGTAATACCAAAATGATCAAGAGTACGTCCAGCAAAGAGATGGTTCATCTCATGGCATTAAGGAAAATCAGCTTGCCTACACACACAAAATATTTTGCTGTTTAAGATGATAAGCTGTTTTACTATCACATTACAGTGGATGGAATCAGTAATTTAAGTTGTAAAAAGCAACTGAGCTCATTATTGGCTCTAACTTTTTGGATGCTAACAACTCCCATTGCTGATGGCTTTGGCTCCAACTCAGAGAAGTACCTGCATAAGTCTTAATTACTAATTACAGACTGATTTAGAAACATAGCAAAGAATTTGTGTATTCGTTGCTGTGGTGGACATAGCGTGACTTAGTTCTCACCTTTATACTTTTTATTTGTTGACTGTATTTTTTGACTTTTTTTTTAATCTTAGAGACTGTCTGAGAAGCAAAGAATGTCTAATTGCATGTGTTAACCATGTTCTGCTTGTTGCAAGGTAGACACAAACTTCTGGAAGGATGAGAGGATTGCTCCTTCCCTTGAAGGAACTGAGCGTCCTCAGCAAGGAGGGTCTTCTAGCGCACAGGTAGTGGGGAGAAAAAAAAAAAAAAGGAGAGGATAAAAAAAAAAAGCAGTGAGTCTGCAGTACCAGCGCACACTGGCAGATACTTGTGAGCAATTGGAGGCTACCTTACAGTAGAAGCACTCATACAGCAAAACTTTAGAGGTGATGGAAGGAACATACTCCAAGCGACTCCCAGAAAGCTGGAATTTTGTTCAACCCTGAAAGTTGCTGGACTAAAGAGCAAGACATAAGATAGGCTCCTGCGTGGAGAAATGCAGTGTCAGGAAGGACTTCAAACTTTTCTATTGAATCTGTTTCACCTAGGAAATCTGACTTTTTTTTAAAGCAGCCCATAGTCATTTTGATCTGACTTGAATGTGAATAAACCAGTAAGAGGCTAGTTTGAGGGTTTTTTTTTTTTTTTTGTCTTGTTGTATTTTGGGGAGGGGGTGATCCTGAAAAAAAGGACCACCTCACATCAAGATTCTGGCTAGGAGAAAGCCCTGCCACAATGGATAGCTGTGGTGCTCAGCTCCCCAAAGAACAAGCACTTGGGAGGCTGCTGCAAGACTTTGTCTTAAAGAAGAGCAGCTCCACGCACTGGCAGGACAAGAGCACCAGCATGCCAGCACTGCTTTCCTATGAGAGAGTCTTCTGCAACGATGACTGAAGCCACAGCCTTCTAAACAAGGGTCCAGGAGACCTGGTACAGCTCAGACTGATGCTTCCAAGCTGCAAACTTCTGCAGGTTTTACAATTAAAAACAGTAAAGATAAAAGCACACAAGGAAATCAATTTAAAACATACTCTTACTTTGTAGGAAGTATACTTAGGCTAGTGAAATGGTGTCTTCAGTTTTTCCACTCTCTCCTGCCTTCCTTACCATTCTGCTTGTAAAATAATTCTTGAGTTTTGCAGCTCTTGCCCTTTCTGGCTCAGCAAAAAGTTTGCTCTTTTTATATTTTCATTGCCTTCTTCTCATGACGGCCTAAGTCATCTCTCCCCCTGCATCTCCCTTTGCACATCTCATACTTGTCCTTGCTTGCATAGATTCGCTACCATTAGAGGAGCCTCTGCTTTCAGAGAGAGCCCTCCTTGTCCTGCCTGAAGTCATTTCTTAGACACTCACCCACCAAGCTTTGCACTGTTGATTCTCCACTGAAATATCTATCATTTACTCCTGGAGAATTCATGTGCAAAGCAGAAGTGAGTCTTTCAGAAGCATTAAATCAGTGACAGTCAGGGAGAGGTGAGGGAGGGGAAATCAGGGCTCTCATACATAAAAGCTGGACACACTCTATGGCTATCCCTTGTGTCCTATTTATCTAAAATAGCTCATAAGGTATGGTAAGACAATGAAGCAAGCTGCAAGTGTTTTGGAAAAAGCTTACTGCAGCGCTCCAGATAAGCAGCATGTAACAGAAAGCTGCTCTGCACAGCTCCAATGTGCAGATTTTGTTATGCATCATGTTATCACTTTTACCAAAGTCATTCTTTCCACACTACCTACTGGATATACTAGGCTCCTAACCACTTTCGGTCTGCGTCATTTATTTAGAGCTTTCAGCTAAACCCATCATGTTCTCCCAAGTGGCAAAGTGTTCCTCTCGCTCTTAAGAGCAAATGGCATGTAACCAATCCACTTGATGATGGAAAAGGGGCTTAACTCATTGTTGTACATTTAATACTCTTTAAGTAACCCAAAGATTCTTTGTGTGTGGATTCACTCACAGCTGAAACAATAATTGTAATCAACATCAGATTCCAAGATGAAGCGAGTCATTGACAGGAATTAGAAAAAGATTGATTCTAAACACAAAGACTTTTCTGTGCGTAACAATACTTTATCGATAAAATCCCAGTGTTAGACAACACTGGGTTCTACTAAACCTTATGGTACCTTTTCAAATAAATTAGAAAAAAAGGGGGATCATAACTACCCCCACGTGCCTGAAAAGATATCAGTTTTCCAGAGGAGGGGAGCGAGGGGGAAGCTTCAGATTAATAACTGCGTAACAGGATCTAAAGAGATTCACATGCCTCATTGCAGATTTAGGTACGTCCTCCTCTAGTGCATGGGGGATTCATTTGCTTTTAAATACTTCTGCATTTTAAAATGTTGGTATTTGATATAAAACTTACGCATAAGCAACAAAAAAAAAGAACTGATTTTATTTTCAGAAGAGAAAATGAGGCAGCAAATATTAGCATTTTCCAAATAATTAAATAACCCTTACAGATAGCATTTCATCTTTAAAATTCAGAACAGACATCAGCTCATTAATCTTAACAATTCCTCTGTGAGGAATGAAAGGAAATATTTTACAACTAACTGAAGCAACGAGGTTACAAGATTTAGCCAAGCTCCTCCAGAAAACCAGGGGAATAATATGGGACTCCTCAGAAGACCTTAGTCTTGAGGATAGAATGTCTTAGTATGTCATGAAAACGAGATGCCAGTAAGGTGTCTCAAAGGTGTGGAGAAACAGACTCCACCAAAATCAAGAGGTCATTGTTTTTAGAGGGGCTGGAGGAAAGGAAGGAGACAAAAGTGTTGAAGAGTCACCAGTGCAGAAACTTCCCCCAGTATTCTTGGGAGGTCACTGCCCTGCCATAGAGCCTGACACCTACCGATAATACAGTATTCGGTCATTGAAAGTAAATGACTTAAATCTGGGAATCAATGACTGTTTGACTAACATCTTTTATTTAGTTAGTTTTTAAAATTTCCAAACAAAAATCTCATCCTAGTCAGCTCTTCACTAGCTTTGAAAGAGCTTTTCATAGACCATTTGTTTATTTGTGGGCAGACACCTTGCATTCAGTAAAGCATTTACTGTTTTCAAAGAAGCTACAGAGTAAAAAATACGTTGCTCGTGCTCTTTTCTTAAAGAATTATACTAGTATGCTGATTTCAGAAAACTAGCAAGTTTACTGATATCGATAGCATTATGCCGAGGGTAACCACTCTTAATTTTGAATAGCTAGAGATGCTGGCAAAATACTTTTACTTCCTGTTTCAGACAAGCTGCCCTTTTTATCATGTATATCATGTCATTTAAGCAGTGTTCATTTTCCTCTCCCATCCTGTACCTATAGAAGTTAGCAGGTTATCCTCAAACGAAAGATCCAGTTAAAACACTGCAGCCCAATAATTTTTCGTACTCCTTTTCTATATTAATATTCATTAGAGAGAAAGATATGCTGATAAAATAAAAGATATTTAGAAGTACTTACTCTAGTCCATGCAGTTGTTTCTAAGCCAGCCTTCAAACAAACAGTAACTACAACATACTGCAAGGAAAAAAGAAAATAACAATGACTTCAGTACTAGCACCCTCAAATTCACATATCTTCATGCCCAATCTCCCCCTCCACCTTGAAAAAGTACTTTCATTCATGTACCAACCCATCCCTTGGGGCCTTGGCAGGGTGGGGTGGGAGAAAGGGCAGAGCAGAAGATACTGTTGGTGCACATCTGCAAAAAAGAAATGAAAAAAGGGGGGAAAAAATCATGCACTCAACACAGATCTGATTTTGATTTCACTTGTACACTTCTGTTGTACACCATTTTCTGATACGGTAAGAAAACTGTAAAACAATTCTACCGTTCAGAAAGATTGCTAGGTCACACAAACAAACTTACAGTGTAAACTATGTTTCCAACAAATAAGTAGTCAATTCCCTGGCCATTTGTGAATACAGCATCTGAAAGAAAAAGAAATGATCATGTTTGATAATCAGTTTATCAACAGAACGGATAGGATAACAAGAAGATGATTTTCAGGAGACAACTACATAATAACTTGTCCCAACCTTGAATTTGTAGTATGTCTAAAAACACTGTTAAAAGCTATGAGCTATTGGCAAAACAGAGGTTGTGCTAAACAAGGCTTCAGGCACTGTATGTCCTGATATAGCACATCTTGGTTGCCAGAAGCTGTTTTAGCAAAAGGGGAAATGCTTGCTAGGGACTAACATAAAAACTGTAAGAGCTGAGGCATGGCAGTGTCACTTTTTCTGTGCCTATCTGCTCTGAACTACCCATTGACATCTCTAAAATATTCCATTATTTGCTGTGCCTAGAAAGTAGCTCTGTAACACACCAGCTAAGTTGTAGTGAAATAGAGCTGAATTAAGAGAAAATCACAAAAGATTAATCATAAAAGACATATAACCTCTAAACTATCTTACTAGAGGTTAAAGCATTGACTGAACAGCATTCAGCCTTCCACACAAGCCTTTCTTTAAGTCAAGTGTGCAGAAGGGTAAGTACACATTAATTTATCATCCAAAAGTGCCAACCTTGGCAATACTTCAAATGCCTGATTAGTCATTCTTAGCTCTTGCTGAATAAAGCCGGAACCCCGTGACAGCGCACTCGACAGCCTCACTAACGCCAAATGAACTCATACTCAGTGGAACTTTCAAGCATTACTCAGGCATGATCAGTATTGCTATTTTCACAGGTTTTAAGACAACTGCTAGATAAATACACAAACAGTGAGGATGAAAAAGGCTTAAGATAAAACCTTGGACTTGGTCCTAAACACACATTGCCCAGTACAGTGCTTCTGCTAGGACTGTACTACTTTGTTAAACTGGAACCATCTACTTATGTAACTGTGTTCCTATGTAATAGGTCCCAGGATAGGAGATTTTGAAATCTATAGAGAAACGTCTGCAACAGCCTGATCTCTGCAGTCAGGATGCTGTCTAACACACAGGTGAAAAGCCTATAAAGTTGACCATGCAGTTACCCCAAGCTACTTGTAGCAGCAAACCATAACAATTGCAGCATGGGATTGTCACTGAAGAACTAACAGATCTGGAATATTTGCCAGAAGTTGCCAGATCTATATCCCCACCATCCCTTTTGTTTTCAAGCTTGTCTACTACAAAACAGCAGCAGATATACTGTTCACTAACAGTGCAACAGGATGTAAATCCTGAGCCATTTTAGTTGGGAATTAGTTTGGTTTTCAGCCACTGGTATCTTCCCCTGGTATTCCACAGCCTCTGACATTTACCACATCGTTTCCAAGCACACAAACTTTCATCAGCCGCTTTGCTCTGTCCTAACATCAACGAAAAAGATAAAGAACATTAGAGCATCAGGCCTTCCATGTCCAGTGAATCCTGCTCATGCCAGAAGTCTCAGTTTATAAAGAAAGAGGCATACCTAAATACATATGGATTTTGATGGATCTAGAATAACCTGACCTAATAACTCCGCCAGTATGTTGCTCTAGTACAGCATCACAGGGTGCATTTAAGTAATCAAATAACTTTTTAGTGTGAGCCTCATATTTTTAAAGTTATGTTTTAATGTAGTAGTTTAATGTATTTCTTGCAGTGATTTCCATGACCTTGCACTTTGGAAGGCCAAGGGGTCCTGAAAGGAACGGTATTTTTGTTAATGAGAACAGCAGGATGTCCAGTGAACAGTTATTTCCAAAGCTATACAAGCTCCCATTCATTGAATATACACACTTCCCATTCTAAGGAACTCAAGAAGTTAAAGAACATGCCAGTGTGAACGACACGTTTTTGTCTGCGGCACTGAAAATTCTTTTTCACTTGGAAATACAAAGAAACTTAAAAATTCAGTATTCCTTCCTCTCTGGAAAGCGAATCAAGCTACCTATTCAAATGATCTCAGAAAGTATGCTATGGTTTCAGTGGATGAGTCTTACCATTTCATCAGTGAAATTAAGAGTGCATTATTTAGTGAAGAACTAAACAGTTAGAAAAATACTTATAAAAGACTAAAACAAAAATTGTATTTTTCTTTAGCTGTAATCAGCCTAAAATAGTTGAAGCAGAATTTAAAGAAGAGCTACTCAAGATTAACATTTCCTATTAAAACTGTGAAACAGAACAACTCCTCCGCCCAAAAAAAACAAAGCCCAACCAACCAAAAAGCCCTTCCCCACAAAAGTGAATAAACAGAGCTCAAAGCCCACATACAGAGGAAAGGGAGGTTCCCTTCTCCTTGTACGGTCTATCACACAGTGTGTGAAGCTGTCACTGAGAATATGATATTAAAGTTTTACTCAGCCAGGTCGAGAGAAATGTGAGCTTGGCTCCCACATAAGTATCTTTACCATCATGCCTCTTTGATGTGAGCGTCCATCCTTCTCTCCTTTTGCTTCACCACCCCCCCAAGTAATCCCTCCTGGAGCTGAGAAAGTTTTGTTGAGATTATTATGTTCCTGGAAAAACTTTCAGTTTTGACAAATCTGTGGTTTTAGATAAATAGTCTTCCCTCCCCTCTCAGCTCTTAAAATTCTTGATCTGATCAAGTCCCATTTCTTAGGCAGTAAAACCCAAAAGATTTTCCTGCCCATGACACTATACTGTAAAGCTAGGTAGGAAACATACGGGATTTACTGTCCCTTGATATACCATGTGGTTACATCACCTTCCATGAAAACTGGACTTAATGAACTTAGTTTGTACAAACAACATCCTGTTTTCCTAATAGCTTGATCTGGTCTGCTTCCATTCCAACCAACTCAGCTTTTTAACAGACTTACTTCAACAGTAGTGAAAGCTCTCTATTTTATCCTACGTTTTAGAGCATGCCATCATTGAACGGGAAAGTTCTAATGAGATATAAAGCAAACTGTTGCAATGCAGATACTGTAAGAACCACTATAAAAACATTCTACACTAAAAATTTCAGATTACAGAAAAAATTACAGAAACAATTAGAGAAAAAAATAGACATTGTATAGAACATGACTCTATTCCAATACATAAATTACAGCCTTGACAAAAAGTCTTATGTATTAAAGTCACTACACGAACAAAATTTTATTTTAAATAAAGAGTAAATTCCGAAAGCCACTAGATAACTCGCCAAGTTCAGCAGCTATAACCTAGCGGACTGTCTGTCTTCATGATTTTCTTGGAACTTGTCATGACCTCCAGCTCTGCAAACACACTGGCTCTAGTATGACTGACCATCAGTTGCTGACGTATGAAATAATGAAGCAGTTACCATGCTCCAGCACTTTCAGTGGAAACCAGAAGAGAATGATGGAATGGATCAGGGCATTGATGCAGTGACCCCAGAAAACCTGAGGGAAAACAAACCAAGAAGTCAGTAACGTCCAAAACTCTTGACCTCTCACCAACTCCCGACAAACACTTCATTGTGTAGTTTAGACTCAGACATAATGTTTTTCCCAAAGTGAAATACCTAAGCTTCCTTAAGACGTATTTCCTCCTACAATTTCTGCTCTATCACAAGAAAATACTAGCTCAGTTGGACAGCTTTATTTTAACAAGTTAAAATATAATGGACAAGCATACTTGCAATTTAAGATCTTTATCACAACACAGCAAACAGATGGAGTCACCTTTCTTTAATTACCTCAAAGAATGACTTTAAAAGACTAATTTACTACCATGAAATGTTCTATTTTCTTTTAATGGGCAAATGCTTTCTATGTTCTGCAATTTTTAAACTTATAGATAATGCAGTTTTGCACAAGCCAGAGCTTTGCATAATCTATTATTTCCTCCTCCTTCCTCTCTAGTCAAAGCAATTTCATAGCTTCTTTTTTTCTGAGTACATTTAAATGTGCCTGTTAGGGAACAAAAACAGAACCCCAAATGCTGGCATTTTCTTCCGTGTAAAAGAGTGAAATGAAATAAAATGTGTTCTTAAAGACTGAAGAGCAAAATAATCCGATTCAAATTTTATTTTCTAAAAGAACCATAGAAATAGAAAGCCGAGTTGTGAAAAAGCCCTCTACTAGAGAGGGTTATGGCATTTTCTGTATGAAATAAAATCCAGGGAAGATTATCTAGCTCCTTTGAAAATGGTAAGTTGTGAATTGAAAAATTCATATTCAGATACAAATCTTAATTTGATTCAAAGTTTATGGGTATTTCAGTACAAGTTTCAGTTCAAGCCATACCTGGCAATTCTTATTTAAGAACAATTATTTTTTAAGTATACTCCCTTTGAAAAGAACTGAGGCAGAACAACCCTGATCTCAGTGGCATTACCCTTGTGTAAAGCAGGAGTAACAGCGGGGAATAAGAACCCTTGAGACAGAGAGAGAGAGAGACTTGGAATACAAAACCAGCTGGTAGTTACTGTTAAAGAAACAGACACTGTCCCTTACCCTTGTGTTGAACCCATCTGCATTTTGAGTAATTTTGTATAGCTGTGGAAATCTAAGCATGCTATCTTGAGTACATGATCGTTCAAAAATTCCCAGAGTAAAGGGTGGCAACGCTGTGAAAATCTGCAAAGAAAGCAAATGCTAATTAAAAGCAGCTATTAGTTTTAAGTGGATCTCAGATAATGTTTCAGTATTGAGACAACGGCAAAATTCCCAGAGACTTCAGTGAAGACATATTACCAACTTGTGTGTTATTTGACATAATTTTTCCAACATCCAAACAAGTCCAAACACGAATTTCAGCAATTCATAACTCTCAATATTGACCTAAAGACAAAGAGGCATGAAAGAAAATTCTTGCCCCTAACCAATTAGCCTAAACACAAGAAGTTAAGCATCAGTAGGTTGTGATATACAAGCTAATCTAGTCAGGGTAAAACTCAAACTGCAAAAGAAAGACAACACGTACATTTTAGAAAAAGCCTTGTGGGAGTTGGTTCAAATATAGCTGCAATTGTAGCCATAATTAAATATGTAATATTTAAACTAAAGCTAAGTTTATAGACAAAGCAAATGTGGAAATCACATTAAAAAGATCTACCAAAAAACAAGGGCCATTCTGTATTTTCACTTTGGGGATTCTCCAGTCAAGCATAAACCGATAGGAACTAGTTAACTGTACCATGGGTCGGTACTACAGGCAGACAGACACCGAGATGACCAAGCTTCAGGAGTTTGCCAGGAGCACATTAAATTAGCCTCTGCTGAGTCCCGCTTTGCTGTTCTTAAGTGTTTCCAGGATCTGAGGTAGCGCATTTGAAGCTGGCCTGGGCATCTACACTTCTCGCAGTCTGCAGGCACAACGTGAAGTAATACCAGTGTGCATGTCTCACTATTAACCTCCGTTCACTTCCCTTTACGTTAACAGTTTATATTGGAAAAATCATTTCTAATTTTTTTTTTCAAACCTTTTGAGAAGTGTTCAGTCAGCAGCTTCGAAATAAGACCCACTTTTACCATGTACTACTTTTTTTTTTTTGCAAAAGCGGGCCATGGTTCCAACCAGCAACGAGTTGGCAGTCAGAGAACATATGCTGAAGAGTAACATGGAGGACTAGACACTAACAGGGATCAGTGGTTACATCCCCAGACCAGACTAGGAATATGTTTCATTTGTTCATGAACTGATAAACCAGATAGTTGAAAAGACGGCAGTCTTGTGGGCACAAGAAAACAAGAATAAGACAACTGGTCCAATATATTCTAAAAAGAAGATATGGTCTCGTATGGCCTTACGATATTTCCACAGAAAACTGAAGGTTCCCACGTCTTGCAGTGTTTACATTTTCATTTAAAGTAAATCTTCTACTGTTTTTGATTATGAAGGTAAACCTCCAGTGTGAACTAATGCAAATACAGGGATTCCAGTGCTGCTAAGATTTCTTACACTTGGCATTTTAATGAGACTACTCATGAAGTAAAGGCTAATCAGCATGGGAGAGAATGGCAGAACTAAACTCACATAAAAACTTAACCCCTTCAAGTTATGAAAGCCCCTAATACCCTACCAGTACTTGATTCTTCATGATTCTATGGGACCTGTTCTAATTTTAGAAAATGCTGACCTTATAAAACAAGGGTTAATTTCTACTTCACGGATTCTAGAAGACGAGTCTCATCCATGAGCTTTATGCAGGGTAGGTAGATCCATCAAACCAGGTTTAAAGATATTACATGCAAATATCTGAACATGAATGACAGACTGCGTAACAGTCAGGAAATGAGGGTGAAGAGAATCAAGGGAGTGCAAAATCCCTGAATTAATATCTTTCACAAAGAATATAAAGTTTTATGGAATATGAGGGTTTGTGTCATCATTTTTAAGATTAGGAGAAATGTGACAGAAGTTAAATGTTTCCATTAATACTACTGAGTGATAATTTGCTGTCTTCTTCTGTATTTTCATACATTTGGAATGAGTCTGCTTAAAGAAAAAAAAAATTTAATTTCCTCCCTCCAAAGAGAAATGCAAAGGATTTTTTTCACACTGACAAAGTGTCCTAATGGCTTCTAAATCCAGACACCAGGTCAGTTATCAGTAACAACATTACAAAGATAACACCGTACTGAAAAGACTAGCTAAAGTCTACAGTATGCAATGAAACACTGTCCCAGAGATCCTCCGAGCTAGCGCTGATTAAAGGGAACACACCTACATGGTGCCATGTGGCACCATGCAAAGCACAGCTAAAATCTGAACACGTTCCTAGACTAACAAATTCTGCTCATAGTTTAAGTGAAGAATGCTGGTGACACAGCCACGCTGCTTCCAGTTCTGGCTCTGCTTAGCATGGAGTCAGCCCATGGAGTCAGCATCCCTACTGCACTTCCCTGGGCTTCTAATTGTTTCAGGGTCAGAGAAGAGAGGAAAGCTTTAGTATTTATTAACCGTATAGGAATAAATGCTTCAATATATTTTTCCATGGATTAAAATCACTGGGATTGCAAAGTACTTCCAAAAAATATATACATATTAAAAAAAAAAAATCACTCAATGATTAAGACTTGCTATTTATTCTGAATATGAACAATCAGTAAAATATTTCAGAAGTAGCCAAAAGGTATTTCGGAAGAGGAAATCTAAAAAATTAAAAATTATAGAATAGCCTAAAAGCTACAGAGGTTTTTTTTTTAAAGTTGTATTAGGACAACCAGGTGTATTTTTAAGGCATTTTCCCAGGGGCTTTTTCTTTTTTTTAAATAAATTAACTATCCAAGATCTTTTCCCCTAACCCAGGGTGGATCGAAATGGCTTTTTACAAATGAGCTCACCTTTTCTGACACACATCCAGGTAGTTACGCATGAGAAACAGCACAGACACAATGACATATGGGTCCTGAACCACTATCAAATCATAATATGTAGCACTTACCACATTATATAGACCAATGCACCATCGCTCAAATAAGATCTGTCCAGAAAACCCATTAACGAAAGCAAACCAAAGCTGAAACAAACAAAGACAAGTTACATGAAGCTTTAAATCAATATTGCACTCACCATTTCCATTTACAGTAGAGGAGAAGGGTGGGGAACCCAGACCACCATCTGGAGACAGCTGCTTGTCATGCTCTAAAAATAATTATCAGCAGTGCCAGACAGTTATTCTCTTTTAAAGTCTTACATTTTAAATACTGCCAGAGTACTGCTTATTCAAATTAAAATATTGAGGCGATGGAGCAATTTGCATCATTACTCTAAAAAAGTAAACGGCCTCAAACAATTTCAGAAGTCTTACTGCTGGCAAGTTAATGTGCTTGAAGTCAGAAGCTAACCTAGTTTCCATCACAGTTGGCAAAGGCTAAAATTTTCAAGGTAAGTATATTCTGATGGATGCTCTGTTCGACTTGTGCCCTATTTCACAGTCCCGTAATTACAGTGGTACTGATTTATCACTTACATAATTACAATTCTATAACAATTTTATTATCTGAGTGGCTTAACTATAATTATTTAATAACAAACATTAGAGCATGTTGCCCAAAGAGGCTGAGGAATCTCCATCCTTTTCCAAGTTTCAAAGACCCAACTGGACAAGGTCCAAGCAGTCCAGCTGGAGTGCAGTGCTGACCCTACTGTGTGCAGGAGGTTGGACTAGGCGGCCCCCGTGTCCCCTTCCAGTTAGAGTGATTCTGCAGTTCTGGCATCCTGGGAGACTGCTGTAAAACACAGTGCCACCAGCATGCTATGGCATATTACGTAAACTCCTTTCACAGTTTCCTTGGACCTAGCTTCCTTGAGCCTTTTTTTTTTTTTTTAAATCATATTCTTTAAGCAGCTTTTTGAGATAAGAACCGCTTTATTGGGTCACAATAAAGTTTCTTTCCCAGTCAGGAGGTAGTGAAAGAGGCTGAGGAAAAATATAACAAAGAGGGGAAAGAATCATCTTTTTCCATGTAAATTGGAAACTGAAAGCATAATTAGCAACTTAAGGACTTCCTGAAACAGTTTACATTTGAATCACTGCATCTAATAGACATCAAAGGACTTCTGTGAATTTTTGTGACCCTTTTTGAATGCATTTCTACTTTTGGGCTCCACAATGCCCCACGGCAATTAGTTCCAAATTATAAATCAACATTGTACGGGGAAAAATAAAGCATGTCCTCCCTCCAAACAATTTTAATATTTTTGCACCACATCGGCTTTACAATTTTACATTATATTGCATGCACTAGGTATGGCACAGCAGTCAAGTGATGCCAAAGTTCATTCCCTTCTTTCAGCAGGATGCTTCAGCTGCCTGACATCCCACGGTACTCATAAAGAGACGTTTTTTCCTGAGACCATCCTTTTACTCATGTATAACAGAACTCTCCTAACCACCATCGTTTATTCTATGGCTCTCTTATAATTTGCACAGTGATATTAGTGTCGCAGCAAAATACCTGAGATAACAATTAGTTAAGTGTGTATAATCTGGTCTCTTCCTTGATCCCACCCAAAATAGAATAGAATAACTAGGAAAGAGTACAGGAAAAGAGAACAAGATTGCATCAAGACCTACAACTGTTTTCATGGGTAGAGAGAGTATCTAAACAGATCAGGACTCTTCAGCATGGAATAGGGACAACTTAGAGGAAGATTCAAATAGTTACAAGATTTACAAGAATGAAATAAATAGAGAATAGCTGGTCCGTTTCAAATAGGCGCTGGGCAGGAAATGAGATTTGGAGGCTACACAAAAAACAAAAGATGAAATGCTTTCAGGCAGCATGTGGTTGATCTATGGAACTCCTTGCCAGAGGATGCTGAGGATACAAAAAGCAATTCAAAAAAATTGTGGAAGAAGCTGGAGACCAAATGAGTAATGCCAGAAAACTACCACTGTTCATGGGAGGTCAGATACCAGGTTAGCTTAACCTTCATTCTGTTCATCCGCACCTGCTCTTAAATCCACTATGTCAATATTGTCATTTAAAATTGATTATTCTAACGCACTCTCACTGTTTAGTGAGAGAGGCAACAACGACACTGAACTCAGCTTATTCGCTTATAAATACGCCTTGTGTAGTAGGCTATTTAGACTACAACTTTCTTTTCAGCTGTTGGCTGCTCTTTTTCTACTGGGGAGTTTTTCATCGACTTCACCTTACGTTATCCTGAAGTTTGTGCTCTTCTATACCTGCTGCCTTCTTCCAGCCTGTAGTTTAGAAATGTCTTTATAACTTTTCTTAAGGGCCAGCAGTCTCATTCCATTTTCATCTAGCTGAAATGCGTCATCCTTGTATAAACTCTAAAAATTTCCCCAGATCCTAATAAACCTAAATTCTTTATTCCTTCACATTTCATCAATCATCCATGAACTTAAATTAAGTAAGCAGTTAAATGCTCATCTCTTCAGTTCTGTTGAGAAAGGAAAAAGGATAGGAGAAAAAAAGTCACACTCTATATCCCAACCCTTTTTCAGCACTTCTACTTTTGAGCAGTTCAATACTCTCCAAATCTCACTCTCAGGCCCCAATTAATGGCCCAAAGCAGCATATCGACCAGCCTTGCCCTCACACTTCAAGCATGTTTCAACCAATCTTACAACCCAGCTCCTGAAATAAAACATCCTGGGTACATAGTAAAGAAACTGAGGTCCCAGAAGAGAAACCAAAACTAATTTGGCCATGTCAGGTAAGGAACTGGAGAGCTGCTTCTCCTAGGAGGAAGGAGAGATTCAAACAAGCAGAATCTTACATATTTAGCAATGACAACCTAGGCGTTTATCTCCAGGCTTCTTGCAGTCCATCTTAGCTACGAATGAGGACAGCAATCCCAGATAACAATCTAGAACCTTGTCTGCCTAGTTGCCAACCTCAGCTCCCTGTGCGAAAGCACAACACTCCAGTGCCCTCCTCAGTTTCCTATGGCCCACTGAGCAAAGCAAGCTTGAAAGGTTTGGTAGCAAATGCTGAGGATTTAGGACATTGGCTCATGCTACTTAGGAAACCACTGTTGTCTGAGACCATAACCTCCTCCAAATAGTTCTCCAGCAACAAATACTTCCAATTTTCTATCAAGAGGCTAATACATACAGCAGTCAAACTTTTTTGTGTAGCTGGTCCATGGCTAGGAGAAACCAAAAAAAGCCACATACCCCCCCCCAAACCAGACAAAGCTAATACCTTAGATTTATGCTTCTCACAGAAGATATTAGCAGTAACAAAGTGAATACATGATCATGGAAAGCTTAAGGGTGGGGGGAGGGGGAGAAGCTCTTAAGATGCCTTATGAAGACACCTTATACAGACTAACAAGAGTCAACAAGTGAAAAATATCACCTCAACAACCCGTTCTTCTCCTATTAACAACGTATTCACCCTACCACTATTGGCTGATGCAGAAATCTTGAAGTCCTTGATAGAAAAGCTCATGATTGGCCAATTAGTGTAAGAGAACAACGAGATGGGATGTTTCTGACTTGTAAACGAACATCAAGATGCCACAATTTTATGGACAAAAAATAAGTCTTCTGGAGAATATTTCAACCCTGAAAGAACATTCAAGTGAAATATTGTCCTTATTTCAAGGCTGCTAGGATTAAGGGGGGAAAGAGCTAGCATTCAGAAATTTAAATATTCTGCTATTTAAAAACCCATATTTGAACTAGTTTTTCTTTTACTATTATCCATGAAGGTAAAAATCAAAAGTGAAACATCCCAAATGCTTCCACCAGTCTGCTTGCATTACACACACTGAACAGAGGACAGAAGCAGGTGGGGTTATGAGGCACTGAAGAAGTTGGTCATTCTTGTCTTCTCCAGAGATTCACATTATCAAATGCCAATCAACAGAAAGAATTTGTGGAGTACCTCCTTATTATCTTAATATCAAGGAAACAAACCTGAAACTTTGCACAAAGTATACATATCCTTCGAATTTAACACAAGCCATAAATTGTCATGCTTAGTTTAAGCCCCAACTGTTTGTGGAGAGTGTACATTATTATTTGAGGTCAGTGAGGCAAAAAAAAAAAGGCGCCTCCACTTCAATGTTCCTGTTTAACAAGATGCACTAAATACACTTGAAGCTGCAACAACCCATGCTTGACTCAGACTCGGTAAGCTGGTAGGAAAACTTGCCAAGTCTGCCTGGCTTGCCAAGCTCCAGGGGTTTGCCGGGCTCAGCTGCAGCATTGCTATGAAAAAATGAACCCAAAGTTATTAGACTGCTTTCCTGGGCTGGAAAAAAGAAACTTTCTTTTTACTTTAACTATTACCTGGCTGCCAAAAAGCTGGAAAAGCTTATTTGTAACTCAGCTACTAAACATACATTTTTCTCCCAAGCCATTTGAAATGCAAAGAAATTCAGACTTAAGGCTGAAACTTGGGCTGACATATCACTACCCTTTAGCACAGCTGGTATTGCAAAGACCTGAAACCAGTCGATATTGCACACAAAGAAAGCTGAACATGTTCGCAAACTGAAAAACAGCCCACGTTTTCTGCCTCGAAGTGTGGCTACAATTTTTTAATAAGAAACCTTACTCCTAAAGCACTCTGTGCCAGCTGTGATGTGGCACTTCACCGCTAGGAAAAGGGAAAAAAAAAGGAAAGAAAAAAGAAAAAAGGAACTGCTGCCTCCTTCCAGAGGTCAACAAAAGCAAACAGATGGTAAAACTTACTTAATATTGACTCGGGCTGCAGGCAAGCAGAGCATCTCAACGTAAAACAGTCTTGCACTGCCATTACTCAGGGCCACACAGCCATTCACCTGCTCTAGAGTGCATTTTGAGATGAGATCCAGTAGTATTTCAAAAACAACAACAAAAGTACCACTTGAGTAAGTTCAAAGGCAATTTTAACTGCATTATTGCTTCATGCATAATTACTGTGTTTGAAATAGTAGGAACTAATTTATTTAAGTGCTCTAAGGCACTAGGATAGCAAATTCTAATCTAAATGTGTATACTTATGATGTCTTGATAACAGACAGCTTAACGAGTACTAGAAATGTTTT